TTAGGTAGGGCTTCGATGCGCCTGCCTAGGTCTGTTAAGCGTTGATTTTAGGGAACGAGCCGATATTCTCCTCCATGCAGCTGATCTGGCGGCTGGTAAGTATCGAATGAGATTAAACGCGGCCACCATGCTTGGTCAGGGAAAGAACATCGTGCAGGTATGGATCAGCTGTAACTACGTAATGTTTCAACTTTATCTGTATGTTATCTGAAACCTTTAAATGCTTTCCACTTCGAAATTTTTTGTTCTAATTAAGTCTTCTATATCACAGGGAATGCTGTCTTTACGTTCTATACTATTGTTATACAAATCATTTTCAGTGTCATTTCTGAGTATGGAAATGTTTTTAGGCCGAGATTGATTCTGCCTGTGAATTGATAGACTTCTTCCGTTTCAATTCTAAGTTCGCATTAGATTTGGAGAAGTATGAACCGATAAGTACAAAAATCAGTACCAATAAGTTGGTTTATCGAGGTTTGGAGGTATATCACATGTCTTTTTTGAATATCATTTTTTTTGCAATTCGGATTTCTAATTTTCAAAGGTTTTCTATTTAAGGGTTTCGTTTTGGCCGTAGCGCCGTTCAACTTTACGGCGATTGGCGGTAATTTGGCGACATCGCCGGCTCTAATGGTTTATTTCTTGACTTTCAGAGTGACCCAAAGTATCATGAATTGCAAAAATATTGAATTCAGGGTAACGTTGTTTTGTGGAAGCCTTCCCGTACAGCGGTCCTCAGCAATTACGTTATATATGAAGTGCTAGAAGAAGCCGGTACTTTCATTGGCTGTTGTTTTTTTTGTGTTTTACCGACATGTATTATACTATTGCAGTTCACTCCATGCAAAGTGAGAAAGATTTGGTCAATCTGAAAATATCTTCCAGGTGTCCCTCCTGGAGTAATCGCTTATCTTCCTTCGCGCGGGGCTGACTTCGGTAAGGTCATCTTCACCAGTGAACATTTGAGGTGATTTTTTTTCCTGTATGCCCACAGTAGCCAAGTAGCATAATGCTTTCAACTCGGAAATTAAGTGCTGTCAACTTCACTGGCTCCGTCCCCACATTCAAAGAAATTTGGCGAAGAGTTGCTGAAAATCTCGACAAATATGTGTCATTTCCAAGGCTCGTTGGAGGCAAGTGTTGAGATTTTTTCAGTGATACCAATCTTCTTTCGCTTATCATTCTGTCATACTAGTACTGAACAGAAACCAAAGTGTGTTTGTCTGTCGTCGCGTAAGTCGATCTGTCCACAATTTGTAATTGTTTCCTGAAAATACTGGGCAGGATGGTGGCAAATTCAAATAGGTAGAACATGAAGCAGTTACCTATTAGAACGTGCTATCTATCTATCTATGCGGAGCGACATGGGCTAAGAAACCCGCTGCAGTGAGCGGGGCATGCTGCTAAATTTGCGATGGCTGGGCGAAAAATTCCCAAGTTCGGTTTCAGAAGAATGCCAGAACTGAAGAAAATGATGGGGATGTATAGCGCATGAACACTTTTCGATACCAAAGGAAGTGCGACCGAACAAAAATTGAGCCTGGCTTGTCGCGTATCTCGGGGTCGTATTTAAACCTCCGATTCGGCGATGTTTGACAAATGCCTTCTTGTATTCCTTTTTTTTCTGCTCTATGAATGGAAGTTGCGATAGTTTCATATAAATAGCAATAGGTGTTAGCCCAGCATATTACTTGGAATCAGCTTTTGTTGTTATTGTGATATGTAAATTGATGACGTTCCGTGGCCACTGTTGTCCTTTCAATTGATTCGTTTGCTATTTCCCCAACATTTTGCTCTCTAGAAGTAAATGTAAGTTAGTCATGCGAGGTTTTAATGTGAAGTGCTCATCATGTATTCTCAGATGTGGACCGGCAAGAATTTCACCTTTTGTGCATCCGTCAGCGAACGCAGATGTGGTGGCTGCTTGTGAGTTTTCAGGGATTGTGATGTGCTTTGATATGCATCTAACGGTATTACTCCCTATTTCAAAACCTATGTGCTTGATTGTGTACTTGGGCGGAAAATAGGAACATGTCTCATTCGTAGGACCGAGCGAAATGTCTCTTTGAAAGCTTGGCGTTGAATATATACAATTTTCTTAATTAGCTGTCCTCTTTGCACTCAAGCAGGACTACACTTCTCGAATGAACGGCTTGCTGCCACCTCTCCGGCAGGCGGCGGTCGTCAGGCTGAATTGTGCTTGCTTTACCACCGCTCCTCAATGCCTCTCAAACACAGACAGACGTGTGGCAGTGTCGTTTTAGTCTCTAAAGATATTGATATTGATACAACTCCTCTTCTCTATAGTTCTTCTGAGCTCCCACTATTCATTACAGCGCGGCTGTTAAGCAGGAAGGTAGAGTTGGTGTACTCTACAACTTGCCGTTCTAGAAATTTGTCCCTTGAGTACCCCTCCCGTCGAAATCATCTTAGGATATTTCTCTCATCCGAAGATATTTTGTTGTAACGTAACAAAACTCGTATACAAAAAAGGGGGAGGGTTGCGGCGAGAAAGTCACCTTGTTCATGAAGTGCCCTGTTTTTAATGTTGCTTCTCCGAAATCCGTCGAACCCTCATGCGGCTGATTTCAATGCGCCTGACGGCCAGTTTGTTTGAAGGAGTCGGCCATGAGAACGAGTCATGAACCGTAGCGATTTCTCAAAATTGCAAGTTGTGCAGGGGTGCTGCACGACTAGTGACTGGCTGCCGCCTAGTGGCTTCATTGAGGAAATCGCCTACTAAGATTGAGCCAAATAATATAATACTAGAGCATCTCCGCAATGTGGTGTAGCTTCCCGAAGGTGCTGGGAATACGAGAACGCTTGCTTGTGTTTAGCAACATTGCAGAAATTGTTGGCCACGATATTTCCATCTATCCCATCCATCCCATCACCCCTTGCGATGTAATACTTAGTGGTTTTTGTCCCTCTACGCTTCGAATAGTAAACACGTGCACTCGTAGCTATGGGAAAAAGTATTTGTGTTCAAGTTGTTGCATAATTTGAAGCCTTTTCAAGGCACTGTTCGTTCCGCTTGGGAATACGGTGGTCAGAAATGCTCTGCTTGTTCACGGCTATATGTTCCAAAAAGTCGATGGCAAGAAATTTTCAAGAAGATTTCAGAAATTCACAAGCAAATCAAGATTGGCGATGTGAGTCTCGGTTTTTTCTCGACACCTTTGTGAATATTACCAGTCCAAAAGACGAGTATTTGCTTCTTTTCAGGTACGAGACGGCTCAATTTTCTTCTCCGCTGTGATTGACAAAGCTTCTTTTGATAACATCAGAAGCTACATAGGTAGCCATTGTTTTCTATCATTTTTCATTTTTCGCGTGCATATTTTGATGGGATTTCCAGAATATGCGAAGAGTGGCGCGGACGGCGCGGAAATTCTCCTTGGCGGGAACTGTGATGACAGCAAAGGATATTTCATCGATGCTACCCTCGTAAAAACGACCAATTTGAAAAGCAAGCTTATCAGCGAGGTACCACCACTTTATTCAACGTATTTAGACGCGATCGTTAGGGCACTGTGCGGCTACACGTATATACAGCGTACTGCACGCAGTACCCGTTTTGGCAGTTGATCCGGGTGACATTCTTTCCCTTTAATCTGCCCTCGTCCACATGCTCTCGCCATGCCTACGTCTTAACCGATCACTGGGCAAATGTCTTTAGCCATTCGTGCATCTTTCCGGTTCAAAGCAGCAAAGCAGACGAACGAGGAAGTGCGCGACGTCGCGCCGTGACCTACGATACACATCAAGCGTTTGCTTTCTGACTGTGACTTTTTTCAGGAAATTTTCGGGCCTGTTCTCACTGTCTATGTGTATGATGATAGCGAACTCGAAACAATCCTCAATTCTATAAAGGTTGGTCTGCTGTTTCATAGCTTTATGAGAATTTTGAGCCGGAATTCAGTGCAAAATTCCGAAAGGTGTTCTTTCATACGGCCTTGCAGGGCACACTAGGACATCCGGTGGCTCCAGTACCTGCTCGGACATGCCGTTTACCACTACCTATAAATCTGTAAGCCAGTACCCCACCAGTACTTGTAGTAGTAAGCATGCAGTACTTAATAGGCGCCACGATCAGCTTTCCGAGCTGTCGAAATGGCTAGACGGGATGGACTGAGTATCGGCACAGAGGGCTATTTCAGGGTTCTGTGCCACGTGTGAAAAACTGCGAACCATTTTTGCCCATGGGGCTGGGCATATGACCTGAGCTGGGCAGCTTGATGGGAAGGGGAGTGGTTGGTTATCATTATTTACTACATAGGTATGACTCCATGTCGAAAAAAAAAAACACAAGCCGACAGAAACCAAAAAACACAGAACAGAGATGATGTGAAGTCCATATCTCGAAGTTTGATAATACTGTTTCTAACAAGTGTTACTTGATTGTAGCGTCCCAATGTGTTAAGGTAGGCCTAGTAGCATAACTTTATCGATCGATACCGTTAGGTGGTTTACTAAGATATGGAAATAGTCTTCAGTATTGTGGAGGCGTTTGAGAGGGCAAGTCATATTTGTTCTTGACTTTTTCAGGCTCTGACGAAGGCGAAGTTGCCGAAACGTTGGCCTAATAAAGTTAACTAATCTTGGACGGCTACAATCAAGTACTCATCTGATCAAAATATGCCAAGATTAAAAGAAGGTCGATCCTGGACGATGTTTCTAAACACACTTCATTGGATATCAGCGAAGCATGTTGGAAGCACCTCATCCTCGCAACTTCTATCAAGTGCGGTGGCTGTCACGTCATTTCCGGTGACACACCCGCCTATTGAGACATGGACTGTTGTCGGGACAACGTTATTAATACCGTATAAACAACTTCCACTTTGAGCAGGCCGGTCAATTACCGGAAACAAGGTCTGTTCAGCAGAATGCGCAACGTTCATTATTGCACACCGACCAAAATTTTGTTGGAGGGCCTCCCTTGCTGGTCAGATAGCGAACACTTCGAAGGTTGTGTTCCTTTGCTTGGGTAAGTGTAACGGCCGACGGTCCGTAAACGGGCAGCAACATAACTTACAACAATTACCAGTGGGGTTACCGATGACAGATTGCAGGCAAGCAGATTTGCAAAAAGTTGACGAATTTCAAATCGATGAATACATCGAGTACAATCAATTAGTTAATCCCCCACCTAATAAACCTTGTTAAAAAAAAAAAAAAAAAAAAAAAAAAAAAAAAAAAAAAAAAAAAAAAAAAAAAAAAAAAAAAAAAAAAAAAAAAAAAAAAAAAAAAAAAAAAAAAAAAAAAAAAAAAAAAAAAAAAAAAAAAAAAAAAAAAAAAAAAAAACAATCAACCACCAATCGAGCCTGAGCTAAGGGTCTTGTCGTCTGGTCAGTGGTTTTTATCGGCTCCCATCGCTATCTCCGTTCCATCGCCCGAAAAAAAAATGAAAAAAAACCGAGAGAAAGGCCCGAACGAAAACAATCTTAGAGACGAGAAGACCTTTCAAACTTCCACCAAAGCTCGCCGAACCAAAAATTGCCACGCGGATGTTTTTTTTATTGTTGTAGAAGATCCTTGAACATGGGTAATTAACCCTTTATTCTAAATTAAGTAGTAAAAATAAAGGCGCGATCTAAGCGAGGTCAAAAACTTCAACCCAAAAATCGATCACTTTAAGTTAAGATACATACAAGCGACTGAAGGAGAGTCACCTACTGAGAATAAAGAAGTCACTAAGAAATGGATTAAGCACCAAATAAACAAATCAAAGCTCAAAAACTTTATGGTTACGTAAGGGAGACGCAAGACGGTGTTGCTACGCGAATGAATGCCTCTCCCTCCAGCCGATGCCTTTTGGGGAAGCTTTAGAGCTTCATCACAAAACTTTAAGGACTGTAATCAGCAGCCTCGATTAAAAGCATCGAAATTTCTTTGCTCGAGAGGTTTTATTGATTAGAACTCAATAGGAGTACATTTAACATTGATGAGAAAAGGCATAAATGGATTAATAACCATTAGCATACGAATAAATGAGTAGAAATAAGTGAATAATTTTGGACAGTTTGTCGTCACTCAGCCCGACAGTAGAGAAGGCAAAATGGCAACAGATCAACATCAATTCATCAAATCAACCCAAAACTTGATCTCAGTCCCAATGTGGCTCATGTTCCGGCTGTCCTCACTTCCTTTCAAGTTTGCCCTCACTGTCGCCTCCTCTCCTGCTGTTGTTTCTCCTCTTGTCTCTCTCCTCGTCGCATCTGCACAGCACCGCAGCCAACGCCAAGTTTTCCAGCAGCAGCCGACAGT